GAATTTGGTTCAAAAGCTTTAAATGCATTCATTATGACTTTAAAAGCAAAAGTAAGCACTATTGTTTATTGCTTTTTTGTAATTTATTTTTGTATACTTTTTTTTTTTAATCATACAGAAAAATATAGAGCTTTTCAAGCATCCAAACTCAAAAGAAGCCAAGAACCAACTTCTAGGCTTGCAGGGAATAATATCAAGTTTTGTTTTAATTATTTGTTACTGCATGGTGTCTCAGAATTTCTTTTTGGTAATTCTAATTGTCTAAACATAATTTCCATTTTTACATAATATGTCCTCACTATTCTTGGCATTTGTGGGAATTCCTGTTTAATGTGAGAGTTAGCTTAAAAAACAATTGTGTCATGTTAGTTGTGGCTCCACAACACTCTCGATTCCAGAGGGTCTGGCACATGTGTCTACATGTCTGGAGTGTCCAAAACTGTTGAGGTTTACTAAATATCACTTCACACTTGGAACATATTCTGCTAGTTCTAAATCCATTAATAATTTTTACTCTACATCTTTTCCTTAACTCCCACATCGGCTGCTTTATTGGACCAGCAGCATGTCCTTTAGAACTTGATGAAAATGAAGCATGACTGTGATTATAAAATGAAAAATTTTTTTTTTAATTTCTCTAAATAACATAAAAAATTAGTATCATGAAAATAGGTAATATTTACCCAAATGCCACAACAGTTCTCTCATTATTGGCAATCCTCCTACAGATCTTATCCATTGCCTTTTGTTTACCAATATAGTTTGACCATCTTAACCTTCTCCAACGTTTTTCTTTATAAAAGTCAAATAAATCATCCATATAAAAAGTGCTTCAGAGAGATACTGCACTTGGAAACCATGAACTGAAGGAACAGAAGGTGTTGGTAAACCTGAAATATATAATATTGAATTAGTCTTTTAAAAAAAAATCAAAATGTTTACCTCTGACAATGGCTTGTATGAATTTATTTTTATTCATCCAAACTTCTCTTTTTTTTTCTTGCCTTTGAAACCCAGCCATTTCATAATATTCTTTTGTGCTGTATTTAGTTATTTTTTCATTTTGCTCTATAGCAACAAATAAATCCTTCTTCCAGGATCAACACCAATTAATTACTCTACATCCCTCCAAATCTAATTTTTCATACTCATCATCATCATCATTCCTTTCATCAAATTTTTTTGGTCTTTGCAGGTGGACAGAAGCACATGTACCATCAGTTGTAGATAGTATGTAAATGTTCTATTTCTAGTAGAAACTTTTTTTTATATTAAAGCTTCTATTCCACCAATGATCAAAATTTTCTTTAAAAGCTTCTCTAGTTACTAGATCACTATGTTTTAGTAGAAAGCCATAATTGGTATAATGCTTCAGTGTCAATGTTTATGTTTCTTTGTTGGATTGAATATAGTGGAAGAATTGTGAAAGAGTGAAGGTTTTTGGTATGAGGATTTTTTGAAATATATTTTAATAAAGAGTGCAGGAGAGGGAGATATTTCCACCAATTTTTTTTCACTTCATTGTTTTCTAATGGCAAGGTTCTTAAAAGATTTCTTGCCTTTTGCAATATATATATAAATCTAATAGAGGCAATGTCAAAAAGCAAAGGATCTCTGATGTTAAAAAAAATGATGGAAGTGAAAGTCTTGAACCACTGTAAAGGATTTTATAGAGGTGGTTCACTGATTTTGTAAGATTTTTCTTTGAAAATGGTATCCAAGCCAATTTATGTTGAATCCATTTATTGATTCTGCTTTTAATATTTTGTCATGACATGATTTTTGCAATTTGTTAGGTATTGCTTAGCTGCTGATGTGATAAGCTGAGCAAGATAACTATGAGTATTGAATTGATTTAATGACAGAATTGTTTATTAGAAATCCATTCATGAAAATAACTAAATAGATGGATGTATTGGGGTGTTAAACATTAGTATAAATACAAACATAATTGACCACATATATAAAAAATCATATATGGTGCGAATCATCTAAAGACATCACGTGCTGCGCCACTCGCCGAAAATTTTTATGCTGATCTTGCTTTATAAAG